CCCGCCTCGGGGGCGGGGCGGGGCCGGCAGCGGGCGAAGAGCTCGGCGTAGCACTGCTGCTCCGCCTCGCTCAGGGGCAGCAGGAGCGCCGGGGCCGCCGCAGCGCCCGGCTCCATGAGGGCGGCGGCGCTGCAATGCAATGCGATGCGATGCGATGCAACGGGGAAGGTGCAGCCCGCGAAGCTCCCCCGCCTCCCCGCGGCTCTGCAGTGGCCGCCGCCTTTCCCGCCGGGCACGCGGCTCGGCCCGGCCCGCCACGGGGAAGCCGCGGCTGCTCTGGTGACTGGTGCCTCCTCCTCCGCCTCGGGAAGGGTGCTTGTGCCCCCACGCTTGCTGATAAGCCGGTCGCATCAAAGGTGTCACATCTACCCGCTGTCTCCTGCGCATTTGTAGGCACCCCTCAGGGGTGCAGCCCTGCCCCTGGGCTTCAGAACAGCTTGACTGCCCGCTCCACTGCCTGGTTTCTTCTCTTGTTAGGGGTTCAAGGAGCTCTTAACCCCTAGGCTGTCCACATTCTGGAAAATGGGTGGAAAAACACGGGCAGACTCTCCCTCTGCCTCAGTGGTGACATGTAGGGGGTGCGCGTGCACCCCCGTGAGCGCTGGTGCACCCTGACAGGCCACACAGGCGACTGGCAGGCAGGAGTGTTGGTGCCCCCCCTGCAAGCATTGGCCAAGGAGTAGGGGTGCTGGATGAAGGACCGCGGCAGTTCTGGGAACATCACAGCCGCTTCCTGGTGTGCGCCATCAGCCGCAGGAGGATCCCTGCCCCTGGTCAGCAAAATTGGCCATGAGGGACCTCCCCCCCCTTTCCGTCACTGACTGGTCACTGGGGGGGGCACGTGCCCCCCCGACTAAGATGGCACCAGTCACTCATGTTTTGCCTGAGGAAGCATGTTTGTGCCCGAAAGCTTGCAAAGAACATTTTTTCCAACTATTCAGTTGGTCTAATAAAAGATATCGCATCTACCCAAAGAACTTTGTCTGCTTATGTCTTTAGACCCACACGGTGACAACCAACAACCCCAAAGATCACCCAGCACTAACAGTATTTATACACAGGGGTGAGACCAGCTTGCCTGTAAAAAAAAGGTGGCATGGGTGAACAAAGCAAGCACTGGACCTGCCTGCACTAAACCCTGGGCTGTCCACACATACAGTCCTAGAAAACGGGTGGAAATGAGTTAAACTAAATAAGTTAAACTAAATGAGGGGACCTCAGGAGGTCATTCAGTCCAGCACCCTGCTTAAACAAGACTGCTCCCAACTAGATCACTCTAGACAAGGCTTTGGCCCAGATCTTAAAAATCTTCAAGGATGTTGATTCCCTGCCCCCCCGGGGAGCTGGTTGCAGTGCTTTACTATCCTCCTCTTGAGAAGGTTTGTCTTAATAAAGGTTTCCCTCACTTTTTGCTATACATGTGTTTTTGGGAAACAGCGCATACCTCAAATTTGCATAAACGGAACCCACTTTACAATGGAACAAATAGGGATATGTTCCAAGACGAACTGCACTGACCCCCAAGCCCATTTCTACCAC